AATACACCAGGCACTAAACTGATTCTCAAAATACATGAATGTATGATCAAAGACATAGTAAACACATCAGGATATCCACCGTGTATTAAGGTTATTGTTAAGAACAGTTTTTATTTTACCGATGCCGTGCAGAAGTCTTGGTTACTAGATTATACGGCTTGATTGAGTCCTAGGTAAAATGGTATTTCAGTAACAGGATTTAAATTTGAGGTAATAGACGTCTGTTAGAGAGTTATAGAGTCTTTTCCAAATTCCAAACACAATGCTAAATGTTTTTGTTTAGGGGAGGGGGCCTGTGAAGGGAATAGTGGGGGCTCCTATAAAAAAAAAGTATTTGGAAGTCTACAGAGAGAAGACAGTTTGTCACGAACTATAAAAATAAAAACCAAAAGTTCAAAACTGACCTGTACTTGGCAAATCAGTTGACTGCATGGAAGTCTCTCTGACACAATGCTTTATGGGACACTGGGGTCTGGTCTTCTCTTGGGGTCAGTTTAACAGACGTTTTTATGAGAGTCCTTTATGAGCCAGGGACTGTGCTAAACATTAGAGACAAGACATGATCAGAATGCGGTCACTGTCCTGCAAAGAAAATCACAACAGCTAAGTAAGGGCAGAAAAAGATCAGGGCAGAGGGCAGTGTGACAGCGGAAAGCAGTCCCTCACCCAGGGCGTGGAGGGGGCGGGTGGGGAGGTGGCAGGCAGGGAGGAGTTAGTTTGAAAAGGTGATGCTTCAGTTCAGACAAAACTGTCTGGGAATTTTTATCTCATTAAGAACAAATATAGAGCAACTTTTAAAAATTGTATAAAATAAAAAAATTTAAGTCAGAAAAAGGAAAAACCCTAGGCAATACAAGCCATAGTTCGGTGACTTAGTGAAAGAGAAAACACATGTAAATACTAAAACTTTTAGAAGTGGAAAAAAATGAACTGTATGGAAATTAAAAAAAAACATTAGTTCATATGTTTGAAGTTAACGCGATACTAACAACAAAATGGAGTCAATAAATATGTTGTGGTGTCAATTTTAAAAAAGAGAACAAATACAGAACAAAGATTGTTTATCATGTTAAGAGCAAATACTAAATCTTTTTTTTTTAATGCTTTCCATCCTCTATCAGGGAAAGAAACAGTGTATATAGTTTTGAAGTTATGACAGGGGTTCCATTACTATTCAAAAAGATTCTTCTAAGACATAAAATTCTTGGAATGTGCTCAGACTCATGCCAAATATTGTTCAGAGTCAGATTAAATCTACCATACTCTTATGTCTGCTGAAAGTGGTAGATTGGATGCTTAACATACACTTTAAAAAAAAATACAATGCTAATAGAGAAATATATGAGAAGCCAGTCTCCTATTCTTTTAGAAGTAATTCCATAGAATTTAATCAGAGCCTATGAATCTGGTGAGTTTTCATTTGCATATGCCTTTGCTACACAGTCAGTGCAGCCTGCAGTTTGCTTATGCAGAAACTTGTTTCCCCTTTCTTCCATTTGATTTGGCAACAACTCAGTGTGTCCACAAAAGTTACATGATGATTTGTCGCCACTGAACCCTTGAATTGCTGAGGAACAGGTAGTTGAAATTTGTTTTGCCTCCATGATTGTCTTAAGAATCCATTCTATCAGAAATGTTTTTTTTAAAAGTTCTTGAGTCCTCCCCGACTGGTAATACATTCAGAAGAAATGATGTCGGGGTTGCTGTACAGTGATTTCGTGTGTGAAGGCGACTCCCAGAACCTTTGCGGTAAAAAGAAACCTTGAATCATCACTTAGTCAAATCCTTGCATTTCATCACTGAGGAAAACAGAGTCCAGTGAAGCCAAATGGGCTTCTCACCTCCAAGCAGCAAGATTCGGTGATGCCAGGATGGAGGGCCTTGGCATCCATCTCCCGAGGTGTCAGGGTCCCTCACATCCTAAACTTTAGTGTAGATGCAGATCTCTTAGGGATCTGGTTAACATGTGGGTTCTTATTCAGTAGTTCTGGACTGAGGCCTGAGAGTCCAGGACACACTGGTGCTGTTGGTCCTTGGACCCCACATTGAATATGTATAAGGCTTTACACTAAGAAGATTCATCTGAGTGAAGATAAACGTAAGCAAAGAGATACTTCTGGTTCAGATAGAGCTGATGATTCCAGAAAGGATTGGCACACTTTAAGCAGATCTAGTGTTACCGCACCAAACAGTCTATCTCATCTTGTGATACAGATAAGCCAGCATCTCATCATGCTGGTTTCCTAGGAGATATTGTTTTAGAAGTTCACACTAATTAGAAAATTGATAGGGTAAGGCTTTCGAGCCCTTTCATCTAGTTGTCCTGTGCCCTCTGATCTCAAAATTGTCATGCAAGATGCATAAATGGCAATTTTTCTAGTAAATGAGTTTCTTCTTTTAAGGGACTCATGATTCCTCAGCTGTTTGTTAATTTCATGACCCTTAAATAAGTGAATTTCTTGCCTCTGATGGTTCTCTCTCCCTCCCTCCCTCTCTCTCTCTCACACACACACACACACACACGCCCCATATTCACGTATTTTATATTATATTCTTTGTGTGAAGCAAGTGGATTATTATGTGATCAATATAAGAATTTTAACTTTTATCAAGAATGCAAACAGGTAAGATGAAGTGGTCATTATAGAAGTAGCCTTAATTCTGGCATCACCTACTTAATTATAGTGTATGTCTAGATGGATTTACAGTCCTGGTTGAGAAACAGATGTACAGATAAAAATCCCATATACTTCAAAAATTATTATGTCAAATGACTTGTTACGGAAAACAGGTTTCCTTGTGTTTTTCCTGTGTTACCTGGGAAGACATTCTTATTGAAGCAGGTAGACTGACATCTTCATGAGAAATGACCCAGCCTCACAGGCTATAGTTCTTATTTCTGTGTTTCCTCAAGTAGCTCTTTCTCTCTAGTGATTGCTGCAAAAATACTCTAAACAAAAATAACCAGTTCATTTATCCAAAAAATGTTTTGAAGAATTTTTTTAAAAACCGTATCAATACGAGATGTTTGCGGTTAAGCTTACTGACATTATTGTTAATGATCATAATTACACTTTGCTTACACAAGTACTCATGGGCTGGAAATCTGAACATGCTAGTGTCCATTCTCTCAAGCCACTCTTACCAAATCACTGGATAACACTTTCTTGGCATTGAATTTGGCTTTAAGGGAAATGAAAAAAAAATCAACCTTATATTAGTAAAAGTGAATAGTTTTATTCACATCTCTTTGATGCCAGGAGAAGAAAGGGTTGTTTGTAAATCACGAGGTCTGCGCATGGTGGTTACGGTGTAGATGAGCTATTAGTGATAACCACGGCTGTGGGTGCTGGGCATCTATAGGAAGTGTATTTGTGTCCTAGAACCTTTCAATGACCCTATTTACTTGAGTATGATATTGGGTAAAATGAATCCGGTCTGAAATTCTTCAGTTACTGGAGGGACCGCAACAAAAAGAACAGTTATAAAGGACTTCCATGTTTAGGCCCAGCCCCATTACAAGACCTTAAGAACAATACTCTACCAAGATTCTGGAATTTTGATAGGCAAATGTAGGGGAGTGAGTAAAATGTCAATTTTATGTAATTTCAAAATAGTTTACCTTAAGCGCAAAATGACATTTACTAAATACCACTGTGGAAGAATAACTTTAAATTTTTTTTAATATGTTTGATGTGGGATAGTTGGATGAAATGAAATTTGTACTGATAAAAATCTGCCTCTTTCTGTCTTTCACCATTAAAAACGAAACCTAATCTGTGGTATCTTAAGGGAAAAAAATAAACAGAGAATGCAGTTTTTCTTGTCAGTAATCACTGGTATGTGAAAGTGCCTGATTTCTGTTGCAGTTTGATGATTTAACTTATAACTTATAAAAATACCAATGAAACTAAATACAAAATTATGTTTATAGCAGAAAAAGCTCAGGATCATTTAAATCTTAAAAGATTATGGACTGAACCATGCAGGCTCTTAACTAAAACCAGTGTTTTAACAGAGTAAGAGTCAGTGATCAGTGGCAAATAAGGAAATGTCAAAGGGAAACTGACTTAGCTGCCCAGACCTTGCCACCCCAGTTCAACTTTTCAGCCTCACTCTAGTTAAATTGCAGTTAACTGATCTTACGAAGACTGAAGCAGACAACAACAGAAACATACACCCCACAGTTTCCGCGGGACACGGTTTTCTAAATGTTTTGTCTTTTCCTTTTCTCTACGTTGCTCAGCCACCAGGTCATTTGTAGGACTTTCATATTCTGTAGGAGGAAATTTGCCAGGCTGAAAGTTCAGTGTCTTTAGCATTCGATTGCTTATTACATTTTTACCCTCTAGGTGCCAACCTGGATTCACTGGAGCAAGATGTACTGAGAATGTGCCCATGAAAGTCCAAAACCAAGAAAGTATGTTAAAATAATCTGAAATTTGCTTTCTCCCCCAAACTACAGCAACAATCACTACCTCTTGGTGCTTTTACAGCTCAGTGGTGACTGATTCCTTTTGTTCTAATTATGGTTTAACCGCTCAGGGCATAATCCCATTCCATTTGACCTTGTTTAACTGTCTCTCAGCACGGAGACCCCAGAGGTCATCGTGAACCCACTGGGACAGTCAGTGATGCTGGCGATGGTGGTGGGCAGGCCCCCCCAAAAAAAACCCTTCCAACCTTTGGGACCAGTGCTATCAAATGGAAAACCTAGATGAAGAAAACGTCCCCTTTCATTTTAAGTGGCTCCCTTTAAGAGAAAGCAGTCACTTAAAATGCTGGGACCTTTCTGGGTTTTTTGTCCAAATGTTGAACCCTTTGGGGGAGATGCCAGAGTCTGAAAGCCATGATTAGGACAAAGCCTCAGTTCCTGAGGGTGAACTCACCAAGTTCAGTCAAATGAACACTGAAGGAGCTTCTTTCTAGCATATATTCACCTCTTCTCTTTTTCTCTGTTTTTTTTTCTACCATTGTTTTTTTTTTGTTTCTTCTCTCAGGTGCCCCAATGAGTTTACTGGTGATCGCTGCCAAAACTACGTAATGGCCAGCTTCTACAGTACGTCCACTCCCTTTCTGTCTCTGCCTGAGTAGGAGCATGTTCAGTCGGTGCTGCTTTCTTGTCACTGCATCTTCCCTCAGATCTCACCTAGAGCTAGGTGCATTGACCAGGTCTAACACTGACTGCCTCTGCCTGTCGCATGAGACCGTTAACGAGAGCGATTGTATGACTTCTCTGCTCATGACTAGTTGAACTAGCTCTGAGAGAGACAAATAGGTGGGTGAGGCCCCGGATGCTTCTGAAATGGATCTGGAATCACGTGACACCACACGATAGCCTATATCACCCAGTGCGATCATAATAAAGGCCTTTAAAAGTCTCACTTTCATTGATAAAAAAACAATAAAATCATTCTGCTGAACAGTCCATCTTCTTTAGAACCATGACCGCATCCTGAAAAGGGATGTTTGCTAAGTTGTAACCAATACGCACCTGAAATGATGGTAAGTTCATTTCGGTTCAGAATGTGTTCTCTGTAACAAATAAACAGAATAAAAAGAGTTCAGGTGTTTCTCTTCATTAACCAAACAGTTTGCATTTAAATTTTTTTTAAAAAAAGCACTGAGTAAGGAAATGAAAAACAAACATTTCACAGCCAATGAGACAGTCTGGCTTCTATTTACGTTGCTTAGGAAACCAGTGATTCAGGTCTAGTTTAACGATCATTTGTTTATGTTATGCTAGTCTCAATAAGAATTTTAGAAACATTTGTTTTTTAAAAATTTTTATTGGTTGCTTTGAAACCTAACAGTTCACTGCTAGATGTATATTTTAAATGAGAACTGGGAAATCCTGATTTCTGTGGCTTCATGAAATTTTGACCATCTTTCCTAAAAGAGCCAATTCACAGTGTATATAATTGTACGGATAACTGAACTATGAATCTGTCCTTCTTTTGTGAACTGGGACTATAGCTTTTAATTCCGGAGCTTTCAAAGCATTATATTTAAAATCGATTCCATATAGATATCCGTTTGGATCAAAGGTTGACAATTTTTTTTTCTGTAAAGGATCAGATAGTAAATACTTCTGAGTTTGCAGACGACCCCGTCATTGTCACAGCTACAGAACTTCTGTCGTTAGCACAAAAGCAGTCATGAACAATGCATGACCTGACAAACATAGCTGTGTGCTATTGAAACTTTATTTTCAAAAGCATCATAAAGGATTTGTCAACCTCCAATTCAAATATGTCAATTGCTCGCCCTGAAAAATAATTTCACATAGCCTGTTGGGGTATAAATTCATGGAACACAAGAAGCAGTGATAGAAATTGGTCATTTGGGGGACCCTAAAGAATGAGAGATTTACCCTTATTTGTATGCATTGCAAAGAATAAGATTCTGTTCCTCAGGTTAATGGTCATGGAAGAATAAATTCTATAGATGAATAAATCTCATATGCATTATGGGGAGATTAGACCCACATAGTCAATCATTTTTTTTAGTGAGGTGGTATTTATTAACAAGGGCTGCATATCAAAGATTCTGTTATAATGTCCTGTTGTGAAAAATTGATAAATTGGCATTGCTAAATTTTCAAACACAGTCTCCCCTTTCTTCAAGTTCTTGAAATACTATGCATTTAGTGGACAGAATTTTTCTCATTATAGCTACAATTTTTTTTTAAAGATAGGCAAGATGGAAAGTAAAAATTGAAGGGAAATAAAATTTTACTTAATATAGTAAAGCCATTCCTTTTAGACATATGTATTTGTATTCAAATAACGTAGATTTAGCAAATCCATGTGACTGTATAAATACAATACAATAATAGGATAGAACTGAGTGAAAATTCTGAACATGTGCATTATAAGTATAATGTTTGGAGTAACATTGTGCACTGAAGGCCATGTTGGAGCTCCCAGGTAGAGAAAAGCATGAAGAAAAATGAAGCTATTTCCCAAATAATAATACAGTTAGAGCTGACAATAGTAACCCAAGAAAATATTCTCAACTTCTCTTTTAGATCAATTTCTCTTTCGGAAGATATAATTTTAAAGTAGCCACTATGTGTTTAATCCGAATGTGATTCTTTGAATAAATTCTTTAGTAAAACGTTCAGCGACACTTTTGGAAGACATCCAGAAAAGCAGCATTCATATTTAACCTGATGTAACAAAGATTAATAGGAAGCACATTTATAAACAAAATCTTCAAGGACTGTACATCATTGCTGCCTCATGTCTGGAAAAGCAAGAGCTCCCAGTCAGAAACTGCTTTCCAACAGTGTCTTGTCTAGAGTTAATTTGCTAACTTCCCGATCTAAAATTCTCAATTTTGATTTCTGCAAACCTTCACACAGAAGTCAGGAAAATAAATTCTCGCTGCTCGGAGAACTTTACATTCGAGTAGCAATGAGGGCTGCACAAAAGATCACGTGTTGCCACTGTAGTCATGTTTCAAATTTATTTGTTTGTTTGCATTCATAAAGTTTGAAATGCATCAGGTAAATTTTTAAAGAAAAGGTATCCCCCAGCTTCGAAGAGAAACCAAACCCCATTTTCAGAGGAAGCAGCACATTCTAAAAAAATGTCCTATCTTTTTAAATGCTTAATAAAATGTAACTTACATTATTAGGATTTAATGCAGTTTTTCTGGTCAAGATGTCCTATGAGGCATTTATTGATCTATAAAGACTGCTTTAAAATGTAAACAAAAGGAACACATGTATATTGTATAGATCTTTCTTTGGGGGGTAGTAATTAGGTTTATTTATTAATTTTTTTTAATGGAGATACTGGAATCGAACCCAGGACCTCATGCATGCTAGGCACGTGCTCTACCACTGAGCTGCACCCTCCCCTCTTTTATAGGATTCTCTTGAAGGCCACCTTTTGCCTTGAAATAAAACATATTTATAACACTTTCTAGGAAAATATTGTCGAGGTTAGTCAGCTTCAAATTTGACCCCTCTTGATACAAAATTCCTGCCTGAAAAGATTATGTTCATTATTGTGTGTGTGTCTGTGTGCATGTGTGTATGCAGACAATTGATAATCGATTTATAGACTTCATAGAGAGGGGGGAAAGGCCTCAGAAGTAGTTACAGGCAGCGCAGAGCACTTAGTCATACATAAACTAACATATAACAGGACGTAATTATAGAAAAGCCCAAATAATAATATTCTGGAAAACCTGCAGTTTTGGAACTTGTAGGCATATTCTCAGAATGAGTAAAACTTAGGTAGCCTTAGAAGTTTTCGCTAACATAGGGTACTAGGGCATAAATTATTTGTGTTGCTTTTTCTAAATGTTCTAAATACCCACTGAAGTTATTCATTTATTTATCAAACATGTGTACCTTGCTGAAAGTAGAATAAAGACCCCCTCAACCTATGACAGAATTATCGTTAACTCCAACTGAGTGTTAGTGAGATTTTTCTGTGTGCGTTTTTGTGGATGTGCCCACGAGCACATGGAAACGTGGAAGGAAGGAGAAAGTTCCTATTACATTTCGGAAAGCTGAGTGGCAATGTGGATTGGTATATGTGAAAAAAAAAGTATCTACATTTGTAAAGGTAAGTGGAAAATTAAAAGTCAGATGCTAAATTGGTCCCATTTAGAAACGGCATTGATAGGACCCCTTTAGAAATCACAGAGGTGCAGAAAGCCAAGATGACATAATATCTTTGAGATTATTTGCATAAGGAGACCCAAGATGTCAAGGAATAAAATGCTGAATGTCTTCAAATTTTAACAAAAATTATAATTGCCTGCATGAATAATTTTGATACAAGAAAATTCTCTTCTCGTTCTTTTCTCTAGTGCAATTGAAAATTTAAATTAACCTCCAGGCTCGTCAGTTTTCCTCAAACAATGATAAAATCCTACAGCAAAGGATTAGCTAGTCAATATTTAATAGTTTCTGAAGACTCTCTTAGTTTTAAATTAATTTTTTATATTGCTTGCTGCACAGCAGGAAATCACATGTAAGAAAGGAAACTAAATAGTTTACAGTAACCTTCGTGTTTTTGAATTATTAATTTAATTTGAAAAATGGAGTGGCTAGGCAGAAGTTCAATAGGAAACGTCTGGTACGCAATGAGCCTAAGCCAACATTAGATTAAATAGGACAGATAGAAAGTAATAACCTTTTCAGAAAATGAAAAGTGTTTGTGGATTCTGCTTTTCTGGACTCACAATGAAAGAAATGTGGCCACCAATAGTAAAAATAAATTAGAGCCGTGTTTGCTCCAGATCTAGTATGAATGATGTGTGTCTCCTCTGCCTGGTGCCTTGTTAGGGCTTATGGCCAGAAGAGATTCCAGTTTTAAGTACCAATTTCCCTTTGAATTATTTGAAATTGGAGCTGCCTGATATGAATGACTTCCCATGAAATGAAATTAGAGTTAGGCTCACAGACTCACCTATAAAACTGTAAATGCAGTAATATGTATGCATGAGCATGCTACTAATTTTATTGAAGACTTAACCAAGCTTCCTACGCAACTAATATAGATAATTAGCAGTGTTCACGTAGGCATGGAATAATGATTCTCTTCTCTGGAAAGAGTTTTTGTAGATATCTCTTGATGTTAACCCTTAAACTATTACTGACGTAGGAGGGAAAGGCAAGAGATGGAGGGGGTTCTAGGGAGAAAAATTAAGTCACATCCTCATGGAAATGTATAAGGAAAATTTATTACCACTTCTTCAGAAAATGAATTTTTGTACCTTGATGTTCCAAAGTTTGCATGAAGGAAACAAATGGGGGTAGGGGAGGAATGTTAGTTTGTCAAATTGAGTGTTGCACAGAGGCAAAAGAAATTTGTTTGAATTGGAATAAATTGTTATTTTGCTGTGAACATTGTGCAACCAAAATAACTCAACATCCTCTGACTCTTAATTTATGAAAAATATAGGTTATTTGCCTGAGTACCCTGGACCCAAGGCAAAGGGAACACTCTATTATATAAAGTGCCCCTTTATCATTGTTATTTCAATGTACTGTCTGATATATATATATATATATATATATATATATATATATATATATTCTTTTTTCTTAATCTGGGAAACTTCCATTTCCTTAAGAGGTGGGAAGTTCTTAAAGTCTAAATGCTCGATGTATCCCAGGAGCTTTCAGAGTTTTGGAGGCCGTGAAATTAATTAAAAGTAAATCTGCATGTCATGCAGGAAGTAGCCCAGAGTGAATCTCCAGGTATGTCTGTTCTCCAAACTGGTAAACCCCTCTGCCATTGGCTGACATCCTTCATGGCCCCTTTATTCCACAGGGTCACCCTGTGAGGTGTGTGTCAGCTTTATAAGCATTTTTCAATGGGAAATTAACTTGTCCAAAGTCACTGTGCAGGTAAATGGCAGAGAAAGGACCTGAAACCAGGATGATTCCAAATGCCCTTACCTCTTCCATTCCCATGTTCATAGGAGGAGCTTTGCCCAAGCCCAAACTGGCACTTTTGAAAGAGAAATATCCCTCCACCTCATGTTTTCAAACACGAGGAGTTTGCTTTGCCGCACTTTGGGACCGGCCTGGCACCTCTCTAATCAGCCACCAAAGGAGGGAATATGGACCCTGGAACCCTTCTCTTTTCATTCTGGTCCCTCCCTCCCACCTGCCTCTCCACCTCACATGCACAGATGAGGAAGTCCTGAAAGGTCCCACATGATGAAGTTTGATGGAAGGGTTTTTGTTTCAAGGATGCAAAGTGTCATTTCCAGAGTGGTTTTTGTTTTTGTTTCTAATTTGCCCCATTTCTTCACTTGAGCCTGTGCAGGGTCTGCTGGTCCTGCAACCCCAGTGCCTCCGCAGTCCGGTCTGCCAGGACTGTGGGCAGTGGGCACGCATCTTTGAGTCCCCTTCCCTGGGCAGCCCTGCAGGTTCCTGTGCCTGTCAGCTCTCGTCCGGGCATTGGAGCTCAGCCCTGTGGAGTGATCATCTAATTGACTCTCAGTGATTTAAGGAAGCAGTAAATTAAAATTAAAGTAAATTAAAGACCACAGGAATTGCCTCCTCCCCACCTCCTTTTTTTTTTAACAGTTTGAAAAAGTGAGGCATTCAGAGCTGTCCTAAGGCAGACAGGAATTACACAGAAAACTAGGAGCAGCCTCCAGTGCCCCCGTGCCCTGTCTGGCTTTTTGAGCAGAAGTGTTTATTACATGTCATGAGACATGTGGAGTGGTGGAGAGTGTGGAAGATCTGGAAAAAAGGCGACAGAAGGTTTTTTTTAAAATAAATAACTGAAGCAATAAGAAATATGAGAGCATAGCTAACCACAAACAGTGAAAGGTACAAATCCAACGTGATGAAATTGTCCAACCAAATGACTATCCTCTTGGCTTCACCTCCTGGCTCTGCCACTGTGCATCTTTGGGTAAAACGATTTCACCTCCCTGGAGTTTCACATCTGCCTTTTCAAAAGAGAAGGATGAGATGGTGCCAAATGCCATTTCTGATTATACATACGATGTTCCTATTCACAAACATGGAAATGGCGTGGAGGAAGGTTCAGCCATACAACTTCTCCCTCAGTAAGGTCTTTTAAGGGTTAATAAAGACAGAGTGTGCTGGCATTTGCACAACTCTTGCAAGAGACGTGCCCTACGTGGACTCCGCGGAGGCGTACCTGAGCACTGCTTCCTTAACCATCCACCATGTGTCTGTTCCATGTGCACGCACGGAGAGCCGTAATCGTCATGTGTAATGTGTTTTGGAGTGCCAGTGTATTGCTCTTTTCTGAAACTTTTTTCCCTTTCTTTCTTTTTTTTTTTTTTTTTGTCAACTTTCTGCATTGGCAGAGCATCTTGGGATTGAATTTATGGGTATGGACCAATCATCATTCCTTGTAGCCTGCAGAATTTAGAGCCTATGAGCTGAAACCTCTTTCTCCCTGTCTACTCTTCCCTTTCAGTTCCTAACTAATTTCCTTTCTCTTTAGAAGGGGTCATACAGCCATAACAATGATTTCTCTGCTTTCAATCTATGGTTAGTTGACCGACATTGGGACTGAGCGCAGCAGCTTGTAGACTCCCAAGTTTCACTTAGAGTTTAAAACCACCTTACCTGCTGCGAATGCACACATACCCCGTGCTCCTTGACCCACTGATTGGATCTGGCCAGGCTGTTATTTCAGAGCTGGGGTAAGTTGGAGTGGTGCATGAGGCTCTAAGGAGGAACCACACCGGGGACCTGAGGGCAAACAGAAGCTTTGAATACATCAGCTTAAAAACACTCCACATCTTAGGCTAACGGGAGTTTGACATACAATGTAAAAGTCACCTATTAATATAGGAACATAGAAAGCACATATGTTGCAAGATAATATTATATGCATAGACTTGAATGACTCTGATTTTCCAGAGATATTCAAGCACTGTTCTGGTCAAATTCATTATCTTATGAGCCAGGAAATAGAAAATAGAAAGAAACAAGCCTTGTGTTACTTCCGTTGGAAATCCCAGTGCTAATAGGATTAAACTAGAGTCGCTAAGATTATCCCAACAAGTAACCACATAGAAATTCTCACACTGGAAATGTGAACTACCTCCTATGTGCAAGCGTGTGAATTGGGGGTAACCTTTGTTGGAAGGCCTTCATCCTACATTGTTGGGAGAAAAGGCCAGCCTTGGGAGGAAGGGGAAGGCATTCTTTCCTCCCAGAGGCTTCTCAGTGCAGGCCCCTGGGCTTCCTGAATGCTGCCTCCAGCTTTTGGATGCCAGCATCACCATCTACCCCTAATGTGCTTTCCATAATTTTTGTAAAATGAGGCTGTTGGAAGCTCCATCAGTTACAGAAACTCAATTAATTGCCCATTCCGCCCTCCCCCCAAGAAAACATTTCCAAGAGAAAACCATTCATTTGATGGGAAAACCCCCACGTGAATGTGAGTGGTCCTTTGCACGTGAGAGAACGTCACTCAGGAGTGAGAGGGGATCCCACCACCATCCCGCGGGTGGCAGGTGGTCTATGTGAGGCAAGGTAACTATTCAGGTTACTTCTCTTGAGATAGAAATGATCCCCTACTAAAAAGGCTTACTGTCCTTACCTGCAGGGAAGAAAACATTCTATCATCACCTTCCCTCTTCTCCCTAACAGCATCTTTCCTGCTTTATCACTTTAAGGTATAATGATTGAATTTAATATTGCTATTCCCAGCCAGCGAAGTAGGGTGATGCAGAGTTCAGAGGTATGACCGCCCTCAGGAATATATGAAGAGTTCATTCAGGCACCGTGTACGAACAACACACCTCTTAAGAACAAACATTCCAGAGGGTCCACAGTCCCCAGCTAGCCAGAATGTTCCATCTTTAAGGAAAATTAGAACTTAAAATTCATTAAAATAGAGACGCCAAGGCCTCTGTCTCTTGGCCTGGCCAGACCAGTCTGAAAAACGTGTTGATCTGATTGACTTTAATTCGCCCAGCCAAACTGTAAAGCCCCAGAAATGTTTTCACTTATTAAGGCAGATCCACCAATGGGATTAGTGGATTCTTTCTATCAGTGCTGCCTCTAATTTGCTTCTGTTCTGTTGGCCCTTCACACTAGGGAAAAAAATAAGGGAGAAAATAAGAGGTTTTTAAAAAGAAACATTGTTTATATTATTGTCCATCAAATGTTTCTATTTGAACACATATTGTGAGGGTCACCTGATCTAGTAAACAATTGGGAAATCACATAGAAATTTAGCTGAGAAACATTTAAGGCATTCGGTCCTGACCCACATCCTAACCCACACCTGTGATCCGTGAGCCTTGACTCTAATTGGTTCCTCTTTGCCATTTGTGTTTCGCCCTTTGGCCTTTACTGGACTGCCTTTCTATTCCCAGGACTGATTTTCCTGGAAAATGGGTGTCTTTGACAAAACCTAGGAAGAATGGGCAAGTCGTCAAGTTTGTTCACTCACCCAAGTCAGTCTGTTCTTTTATGATTAACAGCCACCAAAACACTTGTCCAAAAATCCCTGAGAGGCACGATGCCTTCCCCCTTCAGCCCTTGGGTAGGTCTTTTTTGTAGTTGGCAGAAGCAATTTCCCGATTTTTTTCTAAAGATAGACTGAGAAGGCGACTATCAGGTGCTTCCTGATTTAAAAGAAGAAAAAATAAAGTGAAAGACCTAGAGCAGGGTCTTCCATTTTCTGGGCGATGATACTTTCACACTCCTGTTTCTTAGCCAGTTCATCACAAGCAAAGGATCCCTGCTCTGCATCCTGCATTCCCGGAGAAGGGCCAGGAGAGTGATGCCTTTGCAGCTTAGACTTAGTGCTAGAAACTGACCCGGATGCCAAGTCAAGGTGGAGTCCCCGCGGCATCAGCTCAGAGATGGACACCTTATGATACTTAATTCCCTGTCCTGTGGCTTTAGGGCGGGGAGGGGGAGGGGAGATGAGCAGCAGACACTAGCAATTAACTGGTGAGCCTTCACACGCCACGTCCTCATTTAACTTTTGCGGCACAGAACTATGTGACACCGCTCTCCGCCTCCTGGTCCGTTGTCGCCCCCGCAGTGCACCAGCTGCTTTGCTCCCTAATTGTGGCTTCCACGTGACCGTCAGCCTAGGTTAGGAGTTATGCTGTATGGGCTCGCCCTTCCAAATCTGCATCCACCTCTTCTTCCCACCCCGGCATTTCCCCCTTCTGCTTTTTCTTTCATGTATTTATTTTTTCCTCCCTTAGTATCAGGCATGCTGGGCCAGGAACTTCAGATGGCTCCTCCTTCACTTTTTAACCTTGTTTTCCCTCCTACCTGACTCTCCCCCGCCCCACCCCCGATCTCTCTCCATTATTCTGTCAGTCTGTCTGTCTCTTGGTTTGTTTTCCTTTCCACTTCCAACCCTTTTGATTTGTTTTTGTATGATCTCTGAGGCATTCTGGTCTTTTTACCCGCTGACTTCTTTCTCCTCCTCCTCCTGTGAATAATCAGTGCTCTATTAATTTGATTTGACAATGTTCCTGACCTGTTAACTGGAATTTGATTACCATGGGCTTGGCTTGTAGGAAATGGTTTGTTTAAGGATAAAGTCTACTGTATCACAGAAATTACGTTGCACTTTTTCATTGCAAGAAGACTTCTTGCGACTTGCCCTTGCTCAGCAGGGAGAGAGA